GCCGGCAGTGGGGGCCAGCCCTGTGGACCGGGCCCCGGGCAGCCTCGGGGTGCAGCGTCGGCTGATCGTGCCATGTTTTGGAGAGGGGCGAATGTCTCTGGAGATGGGTCTTGGGACTCCCTGGCTGTCTCCAAGCCTGGAGCAGGGGAGCAGCCAGCAGTGCGTGCAGGCAGCGAGTGGGCAGGTGACTGGAGATAAAGATGTGGCCATGTGCAGAAAAGCTGGTGCTGGGCCTGAGCCGGGGGTTGACACTGCTCTCCGAAACCACAGTGCGCCGGGCGGACTGCTGCACGGTGCTCTCAAGGCGGGCGCCTGCAGCACGGTCTCCCTCACCGGCCCCCAGGCTTCCTCTCCTTTGGCTACCGGGGTTGCTGTTGGTCTGTTGCTAGAGGGTTTTTTCTCACTTGCTTGTCACTAGCAGTTGGTGTGAATTGCTTTTTTTTTTTTCCCCCCCTCCCATACTTTAAAAAGTAAAAGGCCGCAGGGGGTTGTTGTGGGGGCGCTGGCAGTGCTGCTTTTGGGGGCATGAGTGTGGAGCAGGACGAGGGAGGTGTGCCAGCCCGGGGCACGGGGGGGTGTGTGTGCAGGGACCTGCAGCGGCATGCCAGAGTGCTGGGGCATAGAGGAGGGCAAGGCTGCATCGCTGGGTGGAAGGAGAGAAGAAGGGAACAAAAGTCCAGGCTCTGGAAGGAGAAGGTGCTGGGAAGAAACTTGTCAGCGGCAGAAGCGCAGCTTGGGAAAGAGTCCCAAATGTGGCGGGAGGCACCTGGGGTTTGGGATTGAGAAGGGCTGGCAACCTTGTCACGAAATGCAGCAGTGCTCCCCTTACTGACTCCTTTCCTGCTGCCTCGTCTGCTGTGGCCCTGCCAGTCCTCAGTCAGCCTGTGTCAGCTCCTTGTGCAAAGCTTTCCATAGCTTCTCCTGTACAAACTCCTAAAAACAAAGTAATTACGTAACACTGTAAGTTGCATAGTTTGTTTCTGTTTTTCCTTAATATCCCGGTGGTCCATGAGTAAATGTCATCCCCACTGTGCAATGGGAGATTTAACTGTGCAGCTACTTGCACAGGAGCACGTGGTGAGCAAGAGTAAGTGCAAACTTTCTAATTGTTATTCCTTCAGAGCTTGCTTCCCTCCTGAGCAAGTGCACCACTTTGACCTCATCCTTAAGCCCATGTGTATTTGTGTACCCAGATGTCGACTTGAGACTCAGCTCCCCTTTGATGCCTGGAGAGAGAGATGCTGTTTGTCTGAGCCACGTTTCAGCAGTAAGCTTGACATCATTTACAATGCAACGTAACTGTGTTCCCTGCCGGCCTGTGACTTGACGCTAGCTGTGCCGCGTGCCTGTATTTAGACATCTTGCTTTAAAACTCTGCTCTGTTTTACTGAAGTTTGGACTGATAAAACACTGGTACATGAATATTGAAAAGACACTGTGCAACTCACAGTAGGCACTGAGGTTAACAGAGTGGCAATTATCAGTGAAATGTTTGTTATTTGTGCTTTGCTCTGCGTGAGGCAGCTAGCGTGACTGCTCCCTCAAGCCTGACAGCCTGGGCTCTGCCCAGCTCCCATCAGCAGCCCATCCACTGCAGCGGTGCGACCCCGGCCTCAGCCCCCAGACCACGGCTCAGGGCTGGTGAGGGGCAGAGAGTACGTTTTGGTGGTGCCTAAGGGACTGGCCGCCTGTTCGTGCATGTTGGGCAAATATCAAAGAGGCCGTAACCCCTCCTCTAGCAATTTAAAAACCTAAACTGATCCTGTTCACATGAATGGGTATGAACTGTTTCAACTGCTACTTGTTCATTACACTTCCTATCGCTTTGACCTTTGTTTCAATAGGCTTTGTATCTTTTGTCTTTTTCTATCTCGCTTTCTAATCCGGAAAGCTGTTGCAAAGGTTATTATTTAGAAAATGCTTTGTACCTTTTTTTTTTTTTTCTTAAGAATACAGAAAGCAAACATATTAAGGAAGGAAAAGACATAAACCAATTCATTTTCTCGGTTTGTTTCTAAATGTTGGACTTTATCATTGTCTCAATATATATTTTTCCAGGAACCATCACAGACAGACTATGTCTAGCAGGATTTCCCTCATTTAATAGCTTTAATCAATTACCTGGGGTGCCAGAGCCCAGGCTGCCCCAGTTAAGTGCCGCATAGGCGCTTGGGTGGCTCTGCAGAGTCAGCCAAGGTTGACCGCAGCTGACACAGAGCCACAGCTAAGACCCCGCACTGTTGACTTCTCCTCCATAGTTCGCTACATCTCCTGCTCAAGCTTCTCCCGGTCTTGGGAGTTTATTGGTGCTGGAGAAATACTGGACTTGAGATGACAGTGTGTACATGCTCTGCTTTGGTACAGGAACAGGGGAGTCAGGGCCAGGGGATCCCCAAAGCCTTCTTCAGCAGCATCTCAGATACCCCCAGGCTTCCTGGCTGTGGCTGGCTCTGTGCTGGGCTGCTCGCCTTCCTTACATTGTATTTTTGTGCTGGACACAGCACTGGAAAACCCTGAGCTGCTTCTGGACACATCCAGCTGGAGACCAGGGTACGCGGGGGCAGACTGCCGCACTGCGCGGAAGCAGCTGAAGCACTGCTAGAAACAAATTGCCTCTGGATGCTGTACAGCTGTATTCCCCACTGCTGCATTTTAGCTACCAAGTCCGATGCGATTCAACCTGGTTTTGTGTTGAACCAACTCTGGCGTAAAATATTGTCCTGTGACTGTTCAGAAGAAAAACTCCAGGAAGCTGATCTCAGCTTGTTTGTTGGTTTAATATACGATGTTGGGCAAGTAACTTAATCTGTCTCCATTTACTCCACGTATATGAGGTTTTATGATCCTGAAAAAAATGCGGTGAAGGTTATTGTTTATAAAGTGCTTTGAACCTTATTTTTCAAGTAATAGAAATATGAGAGGAAGAAGGGAAACCATCTAGGATCTTAATTTTAATTTATTTCCATGGATTTGTTTCTAAACACATGATTTAAAAAAAAAGAATGCGAACTCCTAGTTCAGACAAACAAACAAATCTACTGTTGGAAATGATTTTTTTTTTTCTGGCTGTGTTAGCCTCTCAGTGGGAACAGCAATTGTATCGTCATCTGCTGGAGAAATTACAGCTACATTACCACGTATCCAGGCGCAGCTTTTCAGTCGTGCTTTATACAGATTGCACACTCGAGCAGTGCGACACGCCGTCATCATTAACTTTATTTCTGTGAAGGAGACTTCCTCACGGTGGTGAGTGCGTACTGCCTAAATGTCATCTGCAAGTTTCTTCTAATGAAACGGTCAGCGTGGCGCGATGGGCCAGGGAGAAACCCCAGTGCGCAGAATGGTCCCGCTCCCAGCGCTGGAGTAACTCAGCACCTTGAAGCGCTGCGCTGAGTGGTTCAGCTATCCTCCATCACGTGTGGTTAATAAGAATTGCCATACTCTTTTCACCTTAGGAAGGAGATGAATCATACCAATTCTTTTCAATTTATCTTCATTGAAGGGCTTCACAGGCTCTTGATCATTCTTGTCTTTCTCTTTTGAACTCCTTCCAATTCTTTGTACAAAGCACATCTCAGATGCATTTTTAAGTGATTTTTTTTTTGTTTTTAAATAACTGTGCAATACAGCCTTTCCTTTGGGGATGGACCTGGAGCTGCATGTTGGATCTATAGTTACTTAGGCTTCTCAACCTGAATTGCTTTGATTTTTTTTTAGCTACATTTGTGAACTTACTAAATGTTTATGAAGTGATACAGGGACAGTTTCATCAGGTTTAGCTGCTGAAAACCAACAATATTACTGTGCCCTGCCTGATGCGGTCAGGGTATAAACATATGTAATGTTGACTAGGAAATGAACATCAGCATCTTCTGAGTAACAATTTTATTGAGCTCTCAATGAAGGTAGTAGTAGATTTTTCTCCCTCAGAGAAGTTTTAACACTTCTTTTAAAACACAAATAAAAAATAAAAACCTTCTGGGGGCAATCCATCCAACAAGAGGCAGCTAGTTGAGGTTCCTGTGCAGGGAATTCAGGTTTAAAGCCTTCCTCTCAAACCAAAAGCACATCAGGGTGTCTCATGGGCATCTCGTCGATATGTCCTGACATCTGGAGTTAAAAGTCTGTCTCTTCTGTCTGTAGTTCCCTTCTCATGATTAATGGTCTCCAGCATCCCCAAAACTGGGAGCCCAAGAGAACCCTCACAGAGAAGACACTGCAGCTTTACGGTTACAATATATAACCCGGGATGTGGAACATGCATCTTCAAATTCCTCTTCTGAATAAAGTGGAGTAGCAATTTCAGCCTGGATATCCAGCTGACTGTGGTGGTGTCAGTCTTTCTTTACATCTAACACAAAATTTTGTCCTGAGCAGCTCTTCCCTAAAATTTTGTCTAAACAGACGTGTTTTCTCACACACCCACAAGTTTTGTTCGATGAAGCAGTCCCTAACCAGGCCCAGTAATGAATCCCTGCAGGAGATGCTGCTGGGTTTCCCCAGAAAACAAATGCTCTGTGTGAGGCTTTCTTGCGGTAAATACGACACTAGCGATCCTTGGTTATCTCCATGCAGATCCTGCGCTTGCTCCCTGACCCGCACCTGCGAGCTGCGGGGAGCGGAGCCCGGACTCCGTGGGCAGGAGGGAAACTCTGGATAAAATGTCCTGTATTGGTTGAGGGCAGTTGCAAACATTTCCACCCTTGGAGATACTCTAACTCAGCTGGCTGAGGTCCTGGACACCCTGGTCTAACTGACCCTGTTTAGAGAGAGGGTTGGACCTGCAGTGGTCCCTTCCGACCTCGTTAATCCTATGATTCTTATTCATAGTTCCATCTCCTTTGCAAATGGACAGATTTGCCCTTGTACTGGCTATTTTTTCATGAAGCACCATGCAGCACTGCCACATTTATGCCGTCGAGCACTCAGTGATACAAATAGCCTTGTTTGTTGATGTGTGTGTTGATGTATTTTTTGATGTATCTGATGTTTCTCTACAGATGCTGTACCGATTCTTGGACTGACAGACCCAAGACTCTGCTACTTACTGGATGGATTCCTCTTCATTTACGCGGTCATCATGACAGCCCTTTTTGTGAAAGCGAAGGTCAGTCTAGCCAAACACTGATGTATTTGCTTTGGTGGTGTAAACAAGTTGGGCTTAGCTGGGAAGTGGGGGTGGAGAGGAAGCATGTCTCTTAGAGTAAGACCTTTTTATTTTTTTATTTTCTCTTTTTTTACTTTCCTTCTTTTCCGATGCCAACCTGAGCGATCTGGGAGAGTTCTTTCTGAACAGAGGGGAAGAGAGTATGTGAGAGTATTTTGATGCTACAGTTATGGATGCAGTCAGAGATTCTGGATATTGTAGCTGGGAAATGTTCGATCAACAGTGACGTGGTTTCTTCTGCTGCTTTTTCATTGGAAAGAGAGGAGGAGATGGACAGAAAATTCAGGATAAATGCCAAGCTAGTGAAGGATATATAAAAACATCTCAAGAAGTCAGACATCTTTGATAGCACGAGTGTGATAATGCAAATGATGTAACTCCAACAACCACAGGAGAGGAGTCAGGGGGACAGGATGGACGCAACTTGATGAGCTGTTGTTACCATCCGGCAGCTGTTCGGCATCTAGGGAGACACTTAGTGGCTTTAGTGCACTTCCACAGAAGAAGATAACGTAATGGGAGGGAGGCATGTGCATTTCCAGACATGTACATGCTCTGAGAGCTCTGCTAATCATAGAAGAGGAGCTGCCTGCCCCTCCCCGGGATAGGGCGCTCCAGTGCAATGGTGCTTTCAGCCAAGTCTAAGCAGGCCAAAAGGTGTCTTGGCCACTGTCTGCACATCTGGCTCAGAAGCAAAGGCTTGCTGCGCTTGGGATCTCGGCTTGCTTCTCGCCAGGTCGTGGCCGAGATCACCAGCAGGAGCCCTGACAGGGTGATGTTGTGCTGCTGCTGGTGCCCCGCTGGCTCTTCAGCGGGATCGTTTCTCAGGACTGCAAAGCCAGTGCTGAATACAGAAGGAGGGAGGGATGTTTGGAGGAAATGAGCAGAACCCGGTAACTGTGAAGAAGAAACCATTTTTGCTGCCAGTGTAAATCCTGACTGCAGAGGAGGATAGTGCTGCTCTGGGACTGGAAGTCTTTTTGAGGCTGCTAGAGGGACGAGCCGCAGGGCACCCGGAGCGTGCACTGTACCTGCTGGCAGGAGCTCTGCACCTCGCCCAGAGCGGGGCGAGAGCGCGATAGTTAAGGAGGGCGCAGCAAAGCATCCAAGGAGGAGTGTGAACCTGGCGCAGGGAGCTGCCGCAGCCGCGGAGCACTCGCCAGCCGCCCTTCCTCCCCCACCCAGAGCGTGTCTTATGCGTGCTGCTGCGGGGGCAGAGACCTGTGTGGTTTCTCCCGCTGGGGCTCCCTGCAGGGGCAGAGCTGGAGCTGGAAATGGCTCCTGGTCGGAGGCAGCGGCCCTCACCTTTAGGTCTGGGAGCTCTCGCTGTACCCCTGGTGCGCCTAGCTCTTTGCTGGCAACATGCATAGCATTCAGCTGCAGCAAGTAAGCTGTTGCATGAGGGAAGGCAGGCAAAAGAAGGGGAAAGCCCATGCCTGTGGTTACGCTGGAGTCTTGCAGCCAAAAGCAGCAGAGGTGCTGCAGCTGAAAAAACTGAACCGCCACCATGAAGCACCAAGAAGCTAGTGTGGCATTTTCCAAGGGGCCTTTGTCTTGTCCCAAACCTAGGACTTTTTATAAATCTTCCAGCCGTGTCATATCTCTAACCTCACCCCCTGGCCGAAGGAATTATTTGTGGAGGCTTTTGCTAAGGGCACAGCCTCGCCTCTGTTGTGAGCTTTTTGTTTATGGACCACATGGACGATGAACGGGAACATTTAGTCTCCGTTGCAAGAAACACGGGTTAGATGCTTGGCAAATTACTGCCGCCCCAAAGGTTCAGTGGTGGTAATGGTACTTTCATGGGGAAAGCGGCAGGGTAAGTAACTTGTAATTACTACAAATATGATTTTAAAAGGCTCAGCAATTAACTGCTCATAAATATTGTGAGGAGCAGAGCCAAAGAGTAGCTACAGAAGGGAAATCTTTACCTACTCGTTAGTTGCCACTCATGCCAACTTACCGTGGTGGCACCACAGCCCCACAAGCCTGGCACCGCTCCCAAGGGGCGTGGGGATCCCCTCTGCCCTCTGAAGCTGAGGACTCCCAGGAACTTTGCAGGCAGCACTTTTGCGGGAGGACTGGGGTCTCGGGGGGTGCTTTTGGTTGTTAGCAGCCCCAGGTAGCCAGTTTTTCTTAACACAGTTGCAATTATGATTTTATAGTCTGATGGAGCTGCTTTCAATAGCACAGGATTATGATAGGAACAGAATAGGAACACAAAAGCAGTGGTGGTGGGGGAAACCCGCAGATGCTTTGTGTAGCAGTGAACTGGTGTTATGTGCAAGTAAAATGGCCTGGCTGCCGAGAGCAACCTGCCGGCGGGTAAAAGTGCGAGCGCAGCCGTGGCTTGTATTGCCTGTAGCACCATCCGTGCCACAGGTTGGCTGCTTATGGGTTGCCCTGTTTCTGATGAGAGTAACTTCTAGAAGAGAGGGAGCGAAAGGACTGAACGGAGCCACTGTCTCTCTGCTCACGCTATGCTCTCTCTTCCAGCTTAGCCAGGCCTCTGGACCACAGCTGCAACCAGGCCAGGATGATGTGTATAATGTAAGTAACTACTGGTTTTTGGTTTTTTGTTTTCAAATCCGCTACCCAGACAGACCTTTTTGGGCACTTAGAGATAGCGAATTGCCTGTGGATCAGAAAAACTTGATGACCCAGCTAATGAAAGTGATCCACCCAAGTGTGCAGCATAGCAGCTGTAAGGAATTAAAATAAAACCTGACAAGGGCACCTTCTGTTGTCACTTGTCTGGCTGGATGCTAGATAGCTATATGGGCTGTAGGTTCCTGATGTGGTCCACTGAGCTGACGGTACACCAGGAACCCAGACCGTTTCAGAGGCAGTGCTCGGTGTGCTGCACCACGTAACGCCTGCCAGAGCTCTGGGTGTGCGCAGCCACCAGATGTTACATAGAACATGGGCACCCCGACTTGGCGCTCAGCCCTCTGCAGTTGGCTTGCAGCTCTCGCTGATCGCCGTTCCTCGGGCGACTCACAGGCAGGCTGCCACCCGTATTGCCGGTGTTTGATGTGGGCTGGAGAAAGGGCAAACGCCCAGGAATGCTGCGTTGCTGACTTTGGGTGACTGTAGCTCTTGTATCATCGAGTGTGCGGAGCCTGGGTCACCGCAGCCCAGCTGTCTCTGTCCCCGAGCTTTCCTGTTGCCCCGCAGCATGAGACCTGTTGTACCAGAGGCGTACCTCGTCCGCTGTGCCCTGATCGCAGCCAGCATCAGGTGGCTCTTCAGGCAGTGAAAGAGGACGGAGACAAGATCCTGTCTGTCCTTCCTAGCTAAATTGCTCACTCATGGCAGCATTAAACTCTAGCTATTTTTGCTATGTCTAGTTGTCTTTTGATTTTCATTATTTTTTCTCTCACGCTTTTGACCATCGCCACATCCTGTGATGAGTTCTACTGTTTAACTGTGTAATGTAGGAACACTAACGCGGTTTTTTCAGTTTAAGAAGTGTTGCCTGTCACCTTTTCAGTAGCACCCTGTCAGCTGTGTTATTCTGACCTGAGGTCTCTCCTTTGCCCTCTTCCAACGTCACCTTTCCTAGATAAGAAATGTGTTGCAGATAAAATTTCTACAGCCACTTGACGCAAATTTAGATGAGCCATTCTGCAAGAAAAACCAAGCTTGTGGATCTTCGCCCACCAGTGGGAGAGAAAGCGTGAAAGTCAGAGTCCCTCCCCCTCGCGTGCTCTCATTTTCAGATTATTTCTACTTAAGAAAGGTTCTTGATGCAATGGCTTGCAGTTTTGTGCTGCACAAACCACTTGTTGTTGTTTCCATGGCTTAATCGTAGAAATGTTTGTTGGCAGTTGCACTAAGGAGTAAAATAATTACTAGTGCTTTTATAATACTCATGAAGTTGGACCCCAAACTGGGTTCCCTTTCTTCTCCTGTGTTAAGTCAAGGTCTGTTTTCTCATGATCATAATGTCCATCACTGCTTCTTCCTTTCTCGTTTCAGAAACTGTCTCGTGGACAGAGGGATGAATATGATGTTCTGGGGGCAAAGCGAGGTGCAGACCCTGAGCTGGGCGGGAGACACCAGGTAACGTACTCCCACGCGTGCGCCTTTTTTCTTTTAATCTGGTTCCTTCCTTCTCATGTCTAACCGCTGCTTAGACATGCAGGCAGTCATCACGTGTTTGCTAAGCACCCGTGCCTTCCTGGAGAGGGAACGGCAAAATCTGTGTAGTAGTAACTCAGGCGGCTGGCAGCCTGGCGGGGACGAGAGTAAGCCTTCCCCCCTCCCCTTTGATCTTTGCCCCTCGCGCCCCCCGTCACATTGCTGGGAGCTTGCAGCCACCCAGAATAGGAAGTGACACCCAGGCGCGGGGCGGATGCGGAGCAGGCGAGGCAGGAGTGGGTGTTTCACGAGAGCTGGTGAGCACGTGATGCCGCCAGACAAGTGCCAACAAAGTAAAGCAGCAGCCAGAACACCCGTTTCTGCTGCAGAGCCCAACAGTTTCAGAGGAAAAGGGAGGGGAAACCTTCTGCATCAGCGTGTAGGGCTTGCCTGCAGGTGACAGCTGTAGGGAGGGACTGAGCAGAGAAGAGCTAAGTTTTATCAATTATTAAAATTAAATTAATTTTCCAGAGAACGAGTTGTCTTAAGAGCCTTATGGGGTGCAGGCAAGATGGGCAGTAACGGGTACAGCATGCCCATAGAGCTGTAGCTGTGCCTTAGAGCAGATGCGCAGGCACATACAAGGTGGTGGGGGATGCTGGTAGTGCAACACGTGGGCAACTTTCTTCTTTTGTCTTACAGCAGAGAAGAAGGAACCCTCAGGACACTGTCTACACTGTGAGTAGAGAGAGCTGGAGGGATGGCTGGAAACAGGAGTTTCTATTGCATAGGAGACTTTTTTCCCCCCTACCCAATTTCAGCTTTGGTTCAAACTTACTTAACAGCTGTTTTCAAAGAATTCCCTTGTCTTCTACCTCCACCTCTTTTGCTAGAAAATTTCTGCTCCCTTCTGCGTGATAGGAGAAAAACGTTGGCAGACGGGGAAAAGGATTTGGATCCAGATGCCTGCTGATCCCTTTATGTTAGCCATTAGTGACTAACCAACCTTTGTCCCATGGGACTGATGCTGCAGTGTTCCATGTGCTTGTTCTCCAGCCTCTCTGCCGGCTCTCTGCCAAAGGCCAAACGCCAGTGCATCTAAGGGTGGCTGCTTAGGAGCTTCTTGATTGAACTCTGGCTAAACGTAGTGGTCTGTGCTCCAAAGGATAGACACGTGAATGCTAAAGCTCACGTCTTAACTTGGGTCTTTCTGGGTGTTCAGTGCTTGCTGAGAAATGAGCTTGTTTCCAAGACTGGCTTTCATCGTTATTGAATCAGATGCTCTGATCACAGCTGGCTGTAAGCATTTGGGAATGGCTTCCCTGGGTGGAGGAAGGAAGAGCTCCTCTGTCTTAACCTTCACCCTGCAGCGTTAGACTTCCCTTTTCTCTGGGCCCGAGCTGCATGTTCGGGTTCGTCTCCTGAACAAATGCTGCTTAAAGCTTTTCTTTGGAGAGCTTTTTTATTGTAGTATCTGGCACCAGTCTAGACAAATGACTTGGTTGAGGGTAGAGTTATGTTCATTTAAGTGTTTGGAGATGAGGTGATATTGATATGCTAAGCAGATTTGATCATGTATAGCATCTACCGAAATGCACGTCGGTCAAGTCCCGCCACTGTCCCTTCTTCTCTGGACTATATTGGAGCTCTGAAGGCAAGGCAGCCCCAGAAGCACAGGCTTGGAGTGCAGTCACCCAGGGGCTGGCTTGGCTTTTCTAGTAACACGCTGACTCTTCCCCCTTCTCTGCTTGCAGTCGCTGCAGAAGGACAAGATGGGCGAGGCATACAGTGAAATCGGAATGAAGGGAGAGGTGAGTCCTGCTTTCCTTCCTGGTGAAAGCCTGGGATGAAAAATTCTTCATTGCTGCTCCCGTGCAGAGCAGCAGCCCCGGCTGCACGTAGCTGCCTTGCAGAAGGAGGTCCCCGTGTTGCACAGCACCTCCAGGCACAGCTGAGAGCAGTTACCTACTTCCTGTGGGAACCGGTGTGTTTGGTGCAGCAGTAAGACAGACACGTCGCGGACATAAGACACGGTGGACATCAGACCGTAAGCTTTGTCCCGTCGGTGTTAGAAACACAGCTCATACACCAGCAGTGTCCCTGGGCAGACCGAACAATGTCAAGGGGACGTATTTCAACTTTGGGACAGAAAAATTCCGACTGCTGCCCGAGTTGAGGAGGCAGAGGGTACGCGATGGGCGAGGAATAGGTGAAGGAAATGTCTAGTTTCGAACACTGCGACCTCTCTGGCCCAGCAACTCACGTTAGTTGAGCATGTTCCTCCAGAGCAATTCGGAGCTGGAGGCTCACGGTTTCCCCTCTCTGGGCCGTCGAGGCTGGTCTGCTTTGTACCTACAAGTAAGCATTTGCAAGCTCCTCCGGCTGCCTGTCTTCAGACAAGTAATGGGGGAAACGTTCTCCTTCCCCCACCTCCACTCAAATTTTTAAGATGGAACAGATCAGTTATGTCTAAAGCTAGCACCAAACGGATGGTTTTAGTTCTGTGCACAAACTGCTGGGGGAGGGAAGCTTGTGTTGAAAAAAAACCCATCTGGGGACACTGTTTATGGCAAAACAAAAAATTGCTGTGACCTACATAGGTTCTATTTTATGTCGATGTCTTAAATATAACCTTTCATTTCCCTTTGAAAAGTGAAAAAAAAAAGGCTTTTGAAAACAAAGTTTAGTGCTGAGAAATGCTGAAGCAACACTGACATTTAATGCCCTACCCTTTTTTATTATTCTAATGCCCATCTGCCACATTCAAGCCCAGTTTACGAGCTATGAGCGCATGAAGTCTCACCATGTTTTTATGACTGTTTCTGTTACTGGGAACACACACCCTCACCGCAGAAACCTTGCCTCGTTCTAGATATATGATCATTTAGCAGACTGCTGCAGTTTTAATTGTGGCAGGCACTACTCTTTGCCACACGTTCGTGACATGTTGGTGATATGGTCAGCGCTCTGCTGCCGCGGGGCAGTTACAGCCAGCGTGGGCTTGACGTGCCAGCCTCCACCCAGGCGGCCGTCAGCCCTGTGGCCCCTGGGTCTCACCTGGAAATCGCGCGCTCGGGCATGGCTTGGCTGCTTCGTCTGGCAGCTCCCCGTGCCCCTGGGAAGGCAGCAGCAAGCGGGTTCAGGCAGAAGGTTTTTTTCCTTTGTAGCTGGCTGGTCTGAGTGACCTCGTTTGTATGCTCTGCTTGCACCATGACAGTCCCAGTACCTATTTTACTGAATCCTGAGTGAGTTTGTCCTCAGGCAGCCTTATCTGGAGTTCCTTCCAGCATCCAGACAGCTTACCGAACAGGTGCTGGAGCATTTACTTGCCCCTGTCTGTCCAACAGAGGGCAGAGTCCCTCGGACACCAGCTGACATGCACCCACTTAAAAAATACAGCCCCATTTCTTCCAGGTGTGCCTTCAGCGCGTAGAACAATTGGTGTCTATAGGAACGCTGCCAAACCTCTATACATACAGCAAATCAGAGAAATAGCAGCATTGTAACAGTATGACGGGAAAATATGTCAGCAAACCAAAATAATTTCCTTTTTATTTCCAATCCTCACTATTTTCTCCTTCTACAGCCTGTGCAGCGTGTCTGGGCTGGTCCAGACTCAGCAGGTGCTTCCCCTCCTGTGCAGAGGGTGTCCGGGCCAAGCGCAGCTGCTGACCCTCGGTGCCGGATGGGGGAAGCCAGGGGTTTCTGTCCTTTTGCATAATGGCAAAAGCACCCATTAATCTGTGCTCCTTTTTCTTTCTCAAACCAGCAGAGGCGGCGAGGCAAAGGGAATGAAGGTGTCTACCAGGTAGGCAACACATCCCGCACTTGCTCCCCTCATCTATCTTCATGTCTTCGTGGCTCAAGTGTTGCATCTAGTTACGTATCTCACCACGCTGTTAGTGACGCGTGACGAAGCAGAGCCTTCAAAGCACCTTTCTGGGGACAGTTACTCAGAGTCAGGGCAAAGACCGCACTGCTGGTGCTTTGATACAGTGGTTCAGCCCATCCCACTGTAGCGTACGGAGCACAAACTGGTCAGCGCCCCCAGTCCCTTGGAGCGCTGGGGGTTTCAGTCTTGCAAGGAGTCCATCAATAAGGCCTTATTTGGGCCGCCATGCCTCATTGTTCCAAAATGCATTTTACTTTCTGTAGAAGCCTGTACGTTGTCACTGACGTGCTAAAATGACAACAATAAAATACGTATTAGGAAGTTCTTCTGACGTGGCACATGCCAGGGAGTTTTTGTAACCTTTCGTCAGAACCTGCCCTGCTGATAGTCAGGGGTAGCTGCTAAGAAGCACTGTCTTATCGGTCTACTCGGTATGCCGCTATGTATCATAGCAGAGGGAAGGGTCGCCAGAAGTTTCACGAGCAGGCACATGTATCTTCCTAAATCCTTGCTCTTGGAAGCCCCAGTCTGCTCTGGCTCTGCAGCCTCCCGGGCTGACTTGTGCCTCTGCCGTCTCTTCTACTGGAGCAGGCGGTTCCACGGCTGCAGCTGGGATCCGTAACTCCCGCGTTACGGCTGACTTACCCCTGCTGGAGCAGGCTGGCAGAAGGACTGCCGTGTCGCGGGAAGGGGCGCGAGGGGATGCTTCCCGGGGTTCGCAGCCATCTGAAGCCCCGCTGCCAACTTACCTGGAGTTGCATCTGACTTCCCTTCCAAATTACAGAGGAGGAGTCCAGAGAACAAAGTTAACGATTTGATGTCTATTCATTTAGTTAGCAAAGTTCATGCTAGCATCAGTTAGCTCGTAATAGTCAATAACAGGCAAATAAAATGTACTCTAAAGATGTGCGTAACCAGTTAGGATGAGTTGCTGTCGTCATACATTCATAACAGTTATTCAGGATGCATCTTGCCTTCAGGTAGGTGACAGCTACTGACACCATACAAAGCATAAGGAAATACTCATGAGTTAAAAGCTCTGTAGGAAAAAAAAACCCTAGAATTGTGTTACTGAGCCCCTGCCATCCTGTTCCTGACCAGGCAGCTAGGGAGAACTCAGCACTTGTACTGGTACCTCACCTGGTTTTCTCTTTTTCAGGGACTCAGTACAGCGACCAAGGACACTTACGATGCTCTCCAAATGCAGCCTTTGCCCCCCCGCTAAGTGGGAGTCGCGGAGGGGAGGGGCAAGGGTGAGAGATGCCCACCTGCTTTGGGGAGGAGAGGAGGGAAAGCCTTTTTCATCCAGAACAAGCACTGGGTATTTTCTCAGTGCAACAACCTACTTTGGTTGGTGCACAGAGGGAATATGTCTGGACTTGGTCAGTCCCTTCCCTCTTGAATCATGTAACTGCGAGCTTTAGCTATTAAATGTACATATCTGTAAAGTTGTTTCCAATAATAGTGGCTATTAGACCAAGTTTTGTAAGACTTGTGTTGTGGGACCAGGCCACACCTACTAACACGGCTGTTTCCGTAGCTCTTACTTGCCTTCCAGGGGTATCAAGCCATGTAATTATGGTTTCATTGCATTTAAAGAACTTGAAAAGATAGGGCTGTAGTTATCTCCTGTAGTATTTATCTTTAGACTATTTGATACAGGCCAGCTAAACTTTTTGCTTTAAATTTACCTTTTAAAAACTGCTTCAGTGGGGGACGACATTTTTTTCTTTTGTAAGAAGCGATACGATGTTACTGTAGTGAAGGACAGAGGCTAAATGCCAGCTTTTTGGTACAAAGAAAACAAGCACTAAGCTCCAGCAAAAGATCAAGCAATGGAATTGCCGCTCACCCAGCACCTGGAGCTAAACAAGAGCCAGGCAACCTGCCGAAGAGGCTGCTTTCTCAGAAGGGGGAAGATACGCCTGTTACAATGAAAACAAGGAGACTGGACTTTGATAAAGAGAGTAATACTGGAAAAGCCAGGAGAACTCACCCTGGAGAATCCCATTTGGCTGAAGAGTTTGGCTGAAACTTCTGCCGCCTCGCATCAGCAACATCTACAACCATCACTGCAGAACAGGCTCCCCTTGTAAGAGTTGGTGCGGGACTTCTATTGCCAGAAACAGACCAAAACTACCACTTCTGGGCAACAGAAACTGGACAAAACCCAACCAGTCTATCATCAGGTTACCTTTAAAAGATGATGCAGGTATCATTCCAAAGAGATGCTAATCCAGTAATGTAATGCATTTTTAATGAATTAATAAAGTTAGCGTCAAAGACCCGTGTGTGCGTGTGCGCGGTGAACAGCTGTCGCAAATGGGTGACTTAGAACTCAAGGGATCACCAACAAAGGTATGAGCAAAAGTGGGTTTAATATGATGTCATAAAAAAGCGCGACTTAACAAAGTTTGATGGCAAGGTTCACTCTACTAATTACTGTGTGGAAGAAACATACAAAGGAAAACTGAGTTACACTCGCGTCAGCCTGATTTGCAGAAAGATGGGGGATGCAAAAGGGTAAGGAGGCCCCTCCTGTTGAGTCACGAGGTTCAGAGCAGACCCCCTTGCTTTCTAAACTCCTGACGCAGCTTAGGTGCGGCTAGGTCTCATCTTAGTCTCAGACTTGGACAACAGTCTATGTCTAAGGGATTGTACACGCAAAGTTTATGTAATGTTTCACTAGCATCAATGCAGCATGCCATCAAAGTTACCGACACAAAAACCAAAGCTACCGTACTATGAGGTTATGCGCGATATCGGTCGCTTACCAAAGATCAGTTGTTGGTAAAAGGTCTCTCTGCTTCGAGAAGCAACCTTGAGAGGGGTCCCAGCTCGAGGGGAGATCACCCCATGCAGCCACCCTGCCTCCAGGGAGAGCCCCAAGGCAGCTCACTGAGGCTGTCGGATTCATAGGCTTGCGGTCAGATTACACGTGATGGCAAAGGCACGCATGAGGCTCCTTGTACCCACGCCTAACTTTTTGTTGCTTGATAAATGAGTCTCAGAAAAGCCAGCCGCTATTCATGTGTCAATCGCGTGATCGGTGTTCCGAGCGCATAGCACCGGTGGTCACGGTGCCACTCTGCTCCTTTGTGAGTTTGAGAGAACAGACTGAAACTAGAGGAGTTCACGGCCCGGCTACGGCTCAGGCCTTTGCCTCATCCGGAGCCTGCACCAAACAGCCGCCACTCTGGTCAAGGGGTCGAGCACAACCATCACAACAGCCGTGGGAATGGTACAAGCACCTTAGCTGCTGCAGTCAGGCCGGCTGGACCAAGTGACACCCAGCGGCGTACTCTCGCAGGCAAGCTGAGGAGGACAGTATTCCCACAGGAGCTTCCAAACACATCCTGGGAGGTGGGATGGGATGCTGGGAAAAATGCTGTAAGCCCAAGCATAAACAGGACCCTCACCTCCTGCAGCCGCCTCAGTTTTGCCATGACGTCTTACAAGACTGTGCAATGAAGCCTGTGAGCAACTCAGCAAGGACAAACCCAGCCCAGCAAAATAAAGGGGATTTTAACTTGGGTCAGGAGCTGCCCAGTTTGTTCCGCCAGGCCCAACGGAGGGAGCAGAGCTAAAGCAAGGCTGGAGGAACAAGAGCTGCCTCTGTGGGCACTGCCCAGGTGAGGTTACATGTTCATTTCTTAAGGGACTGGGTTAGCAGCAGAAAAAAGTGCCGAAATTGCTACTAGGTAAATTACAAGGCTGTGCCTAACTTCTTAAGCAGTAAAACTGTATCTGCAGTAGGTGCTTGTAGCTTCTGAAGAATATTTCAAAGAAAGATACTAAATTGGGGGGGGGGGGGGGAGTAAACCGAGACATCCCATGTATGGCAATGAATGTTTCTTGCAAAGAATTTCCTAGATCCCTTACTGTTCTTCTGCAACGACAAGAAAAATCGGAGAGAATTGGGTGATACCCCAAACAGCTGAGCTGAAAAACAACAGTAAAGTTGCTACTGCAAAGCACTCTTGTTCTTGGGGCAAGAACAAAGAGCACTGAAAATGTCTTTTTTTTTTTTTTTTTTAATCATAATAACCATATTTGCAAGATGTAGAAGTCAAAAGTTTCGGCAGTCATAAAATGCCAACCGCTAAACAATGGGGAAGAAATTCTTAGGAAAAAATATCACCTTTATACTCTTCATATACAAATGGATCTTGATTTCAAAAAGCATCCAACACTTGATCTGGGGACACTCACCGCAGGTGTGAGCCGAGTTGTCTCTTTGCCTTCAGGAAGCAGCTGAAGCTGTTTTTTCTGTTAGGAGAGGAGCCGATAATGCAGAAGGAGAACGGCAGCTTCAAGCGGAGTGCAAAAACCCTGGGCTCGCCTCCGTGGTGCCCAGACAAGGACAACCTCCTGGCCCAGTCTGATGCACCGGGGAAGGGGAAGTAGCCTTCCCCGACACATTTGAAAAACTACAAACAAGTGCATACATGTTAAAACACTTGGAAAATGGTTTAATGATGTTTACAACAGAAATGAACTGTACAATTACAGTAAGTTTAATATATATAAAAAATTACAGCAGACAAATGCATCTACACAAAATCTACCTTTTCATTCTGATTTACTGTAATCTACACAATCTCTCAATGCCTACAGCTATCTGTAGGCAACCACTGGGAAAATAATAATAATAATAATAATAATAAAGGACATCTTTAAAGAGACAGCATTTCGCCTTCCTCCTCACCCCTAGTGTGATCAGCAAGGTTTTGAAATGTGTGGGACTCTCACATTTCAGTCTCAAGAAAAGCTTGGGTTGCGTTTGGGGACGGGTACTCCCACATGGCCCTCGATTTCAAGTGTTCTGCTGACCTGAAGCATATAAATGCAGTATATGAGGAAGGGCAAGAGAAAAAAAACCTCCCAGCCAGTGTACGCAGGCAGTTGCACAGAGCAGTGAAACCATTAAGACTGAAAATTTCTCTTCTTTAGAAACGAAGCAAGAAGGGACTGCCCAGACGCTACAGACATTCACAAATCATCGTCTCTTTGAAAACTATTGCCGGATTTAGAAGAAAGGGCTTGTTTTTCAACTCCTGATTCTTCATACGCAGGGTTAGCTTTCAAACGAATGTGTTAAATACTTCTTTAAAACAAAATTTAAGCTACTTCCTCTTTGGCCCACCCCTTAAAAACAGTGAAACCCCCTCTACGCTGAGAAAGAACCTCAGGTCAATGGGGAACAAAAAAGAACATGCTGTCTCTTTAAAAAGAAAGAACGAATCCCAGTTGGGAGCGGCCGTCAGTGAAAATGCGATCCAAATTGGCGGTCTGGTGGAAATTCCTCATGGAATATTATGTACAGTTTAAAAACCCTTAGTTGTTTTTTTAATTTTATTTATGAACACCTAGGCAGTGAAAACTGTTATGTTAATACATACATAGACACACCCAAAACATACAAAAATACTATTATTTCAAACTACTAAGAATAGGACAAGTTCAGTTATCTCCATGCTATGACTTTAAGAGCATTACACTGAAACAAACAAGAATTTAAACGACAATTTTTTAATATCCCAGAAATATACCAAAATATACATCTAAGCTTTGGAATTACTGAGGTTAGACTAATGCAAGTGCTGGGTAATCGTACTTAATACACAAGTCTAAGGTTCTGCAGGAAAGAAATTATCTTTGGTATCTGCATCAGGCTAATAATATTAACATTTGGATTTTGCTTTGGGATAGAGCTTGTATGACCCTAGAACCAAACACCCCCCAATCAACTGAGATTAAAAAGATCCATGTAAAAAGTTCCTCCATTTGCAATCCCCCCCCCAAAAGTTAAAAAGTCACAGGCATCTACCTAGCATAAAAGGTTGAGAAATACAATGCATAGTTGCACAGTGGTGCTGCAAAAATAAAAGAAATCTAGAAAAAAGGAACTAGAGGAGAAATGAAAAGCTGCTTCTTCTTCTTTCAGGGATTTCTCACAACAGGACAGCCTCTTCCAAGCAGTGACGGGGGGAGGGGGAAGCTCAGAAGTGCACCTCAGCGTGTATTAATCAACATCACCCAGCCCCCAGAGGGTTAAAGCACCCAGCAGAGCAGCCAATCCTGCACCCAAGTCTTCAGCTCCTCAACCCACCTGCGAAGCCCCCGGCCGCCCCCTCCCAGCGCCCGCGCCCCGGATTTCGCCCCGGGGCGGTGAGTTTCTTCCCTTCCCGGGGCGTTTCGGAGGCCGGGCCCGGGGCATCGGCC